GACAGACAGACAGACAGACAGACAGACAGACAGACAGACAGACAGACGCACGCACGCACGCACGCACGCACGCACGCACGCACAAACGTCTCACTCCCCTTCAGGCTAAGTTCTTAGCTTGTTTTGGAAACAACCCTGAATTCCGGCATTCCACGAAGTTTTATTTTATTTTTTATTTTTTCCTTGAAGGATGGTGACATTATCCGCAAATGGAGAACCAGGATTAATCTTCTGCCCCCCCAGCGAGGCAGCCTTGCAGAAGCTGGCAGCCCACGGTGTCAGTCTATAGAAGCTTGACAGTAAAAGTGCAACATTCAGCACCCAGGCTGCAGTAGGGTTAGGGACCTCTGCTCACTGAACTGGGGAGAGGCTAACCCCCAATCCCCAACCCCGCAACGGACTGGGAGCACAGGGAAGAAACCTGCTCCCTTGGGCCACACGGGGGTAGCGGCAGACTGTCAGTAAGCCTCTAACAGAGTGATAATGAATGCCCCCCCCCCACCCACCACCACCCAAACTGAACACGTGCTTTGGAAGATTCCACCCCCCTGAAATGTGAGGGAGCCAACCATGGGCGCAAGGACAACCGCAGCTGCACCTCCGAGTCTCTGTAAACACAAGCTGCGCAACGTCTGGCCTGTACCAGTCAGGGTCCTGCAAGGACAACCATCTGCTCATGAAGGCAACGGCCTCAAACACTACATACACACAACTGCGCCTATAAAAACACACTTGACACACATGATTGTAATTAGCACTATTATGACATTCTCTGCACAATGACCTGGAACTTCTATATCATTACGTAGAAATGTTATTTTCTTTTATATGGACTGCTTTCTCCTTTAGGAGGTGAATTAAAATTATGCAGTGCCTAGTTTGCATTTCTAGAGCGTACTGACAACCACACACAATGGCGCCGGTGCAGGGTTTATCAAAGACTGGCTGTTTACGTCAACATTCCTGCAGGTGTATGCGAGAGCCCCACCAAACGCACCTTCCCTGGGGCAGACCGACAGACGACAGAGCTCCCATGTGGAGACGAGGCTCAGTGAGACGTTTACTAGGTGTCTCCAAAGAACCCAGCAGCGGAGAGAGACCTACCCTCAGAGCCCATGATGAAGTGGTGGATGTCCGGCCCGGTGGACATGCGGGGGACCTGGCAGCTCTTCTCCACCACTCCACGCGGGGTTACCATTTTTATGTGAACCACCTGTTCCAGAAAGTGAAGCGAAGAGGAGGCCCATCATTCACATTAATAGAGGAACTGGCGGTTAACCTAACACCAACTGCCACTTTGGACGACTTGCAATGGACAAGTAATTATTGTCATTTTTTACATGTCGAGCCTCCAGTCTGTTCTTCCAAGCAGGGAAAAGGGATCAGCGAGCTCACACATCGCTAATACCATCTAGGAGCGCCTGCCATTCTCTGGAACATCTATTTCCACCCACAAGATTTGGGTTATGGCAGAATGACACACATACCAGGTCCTCAATGTTGCCGTAGATGTTCTTCTTCATGCCGGAGGCTCTGGTGGCCACCCAGCCTCCCAGGGTGCTAAACTCCATGGAGTCAGGCTCATGGCCTGTGCAGAAGCCGCTCTCGTTCAGCTGGCCGGAGTCACAAGACACAAGAGCAACGTTCGACACTGGCAATCGGCAGCTGAGGGTGACCTCTTAGACTGGCCAGCTGGACAGAGGTGTGTGGGGGGGGTGCGTGGAGAGAGGGAGGGGGGCTGGCTGGCACATACCAGGAAATACACTTTCGTTTCCCCCCACAATATCCAAATCAGCCCCATCACAAACAAACAGGAAAAAGCATCTGAATGAATACTCCCCCCCCCCCACAAAGTGGCAAACCCTTAACAGAAATAACACTGCATTTATGATGAGAACCATGCTACACCATCCCTGCCAACCCTAACTCTACTTCCTTAGCCAGACCAGATCCCCCGCCCCACCCCCACCACCCACACACACACACACACACACACACACACATCTGAGAACAGCCTGGAAGCACCGTAAAGCAGCTGCCTCCCAGCACCAGCACGGTGCCTACCAGTCTCTCCAGTTCCTGCCCGACAATCCCAGCTTCAACGTGGGCTGTTAAGTTCTTCTCGTCGATCCACAATATATGATTCTGGGGGGGGACAAAGACACAGGTGCACACATAAGATAAAAAAATTTTTTTTTTTAATTTTAAAAAAAGAAAGAAAATCACTGACTCGTCAAATCGTTCAATGCCACGGCGAACACCAAATAGCAGCCTCTGACCATCTCTGGGCCTAAAGTGGTTCTGCGCACATCTGGCCTGATTTCCAAATCGATTTTAAACCCCGTGTCCGTGTTACTGACAGCGAGTACATGTAGCTGTCCTCACTCCTGCACCCTCCCCCAACCTCACACACCCCCCCCTCGCTGAATTATGGCCCACAAACTCACCACGACGCAGATCACAGAGGTGCAGAAAACCAAGACGGTGTGTCAAATTTACACATGAAATGTAAGCGGGGACTGTGCCCGGCGCCGTTTGTGTTGAGTTTATCCAGGCTCTGGGAGGTGTCAGTGGAACTGGCCCGGTACTGCCCCCCTCCAACCCGATCTCAGCAGCTGAACTTCTCACGCAGTGTTTATAAGCGACCAGGGTGGCCGCTGTCTGCAGCCTGAGCCCTCACAGGCCCCCCATCCATCATCCTGCATGGCTAATAATCTGTCTACACCGAACAGTCTGAGACCCATGCAATTCCGCTGCATGGCCACAAGGGGGCCAACCCGCTACACACAAGTTTGAGCTTCGAATGGGGGAATTTACCTCCCGTACTACACCCTGTTTATGCATGTCTGAAGTGGCCAGGAACAAACTACAATGAATTTAAATTTGAGTGTGGTGGGAAGGTGCGTGCAAATGTATAAGTTAGGTAATATGCAGCTGGTGGTTAAGTTCAGGAGTTATAATTTACGCCAAGGCTCTAGTAATACTTACTATAACCACCCACACTACACCACTTCACATTACACAGGCTAAAATCATGACTTTAAACACATATTGTACACGTTTTTAAGGCAGCAACAGATAAACTGCATGATGAATGACATCATGTCTAAAAACAGATGCTCTGAAATTCAGGCCCTAGCCCAGGTGCCAGAAGGAGTGCCGTCCCTAGCCGGGTTTTGGGGTCTGGGCCTCCGCAACTCACTGTGCTTTATTTACAGGCCTTCCTGCTGTTTAAGCACTCACCATTTGTGAGGTATCCAACGAGACGATGGAGCGCATCTCATCTGGAGGGCATTCCAGGGCACTGGACACGCTGGTTCCTCCTGTGCGGGGGAAGGGTGGCACGTCACCGGCCGTCTGTCACTATGGGTGACCCCTCTATCACATGCTCTCTCCGACACCCTGGCATCGGCACTCGGTGCACGCGGTCCTGCTGCCACAGGGACACGCAGCTGGTGGCTGGCAGGAGTGTCTAAGATAAGCCAACACACGTTTCCCTCACCGCATCCAGGTGCTTAATGAGGCGTCTCCACGTCTGACCAAGTCTGACAGCCCCTTGTTACAGCACAGCGCCACCTGCAGGCCAGCATTGCAACCCTGAGAAGCAGCCACGCGTTGCTGAAAGAGACCCCCGCACTGGGAATCTAACTGGGAAGGATCCCTAGTTCCATGCTTCAAGGAGCTGGCTGGACTGGTTGGCTGCCACCCCACCACTGAGAAATGCTTCACTGATCATTTTTAATCATAATAAATCACATCACAGAACTTGTTTTTCAACATTCAGTTTCTTTATAAAACAGGGGTGAAAAAAATACCAGATTAATAGCCTGCACACATGTTGTGAGTGCCGACTTCTTAATTAAGTTTTCCGAGATGCTGACTTTGGATAATTAAATTTTGGCGGGTAGGAACACAATGCACAGATCAGTGGATGCGTCACACTGATTTATGGCAAAAACCTGCCATTTTACTTTAATCAGTTTTTACAATAAACTTACACAGTCTAATTTGCTAAGTTATAAAACTATAAACTTAGACCCAGAAAACTAAACTTTACATCACCTAGTCCCCAAAGAGCAAAAAATTTGTTTTTTTCCATTTATACTAATACAGGTTATTTATACAGAGTTAAAGACTAACTTGCAGGATCTACTGCAAAGCGACTGAATTACTGTTTGTTTCCCTGAATTCTCTGCCTCATTAACACTGGGATCATTTAAAGTAAATGCACAGTGGAGGGTAGGAAGGTCCAGTAATCAAAGTCTAAGCTCTCCATCCTAAGTCCTACTAATCACTTGTTTGCTTTGGGTGCGAAATACTCACCTCCATAGGGAATCAAACAAGCGTTATGTTGGCACGCCAGCTCCACGATTTTCACCACATCGTCGTGGCAGTCTGCAAGAGGCCACAGCATCGCTCATCAGAGGCGGCCTGTCCTACCTTGGGATGCCCCTAGAGGGCGGCAGAGCACTGGAGCCAAGGGTTTAGTTAGGGTGACGGGGTCAATGCAGGTGAGTGAGGCTGGCCAAAATCAGCAGTGCTACTGGGCTCGCATGCAAACACCGCTGAACATACCCACTAGTCTCAGCTTTGAAAGGAGGACTCTACTTTTCTTCATCAAGAAAAAATGCAATATGCTTTATGGTTAATTTATATATCCTGAAAAAAATATTTTTGATGCTGCATCATTACCAAGAGGCATTTGACTGCTTATACACCCTTGAGATCACTCCTAGAAGCATCCATCCTTCATCAACAGAACAACGGCCCTTTAAGCCAGCCAGGTGTCAGGGAAACAGAGGAGGAGGAGAAACCATATGCTGTTTGCTCGAGCAGCTGTGTCTGATAGGCTGAGGCGAGCATGCCTGTAACTCAGGTGCTGTAAAGTAAGCCCCGTGATTGGCTGCCTACCAAGAAAGTCTGCTTTGGAAGGCGGAGCCATACAGTCACTTATCTGCATGCTAAAGCAATGGAAGCCATAACTGCCATCAGACCAATCTTGGGAAAGTAATTCATGCTGCCATAACCAGCCGAAACCAGAGTATCTCATACTGAATATGGTGGTTTTATGACGCATCTGCTCATACAAATGCGAGCCACCGAGCCGATGGGAGGGTGGCCTCTCTGTACAGGTTAACCCTTTGGAAGCCTGGGCTCCAGAGCGAAGAGGGGCAATGCATTAGCAAACAGCATGGGGCAGCCAGCAAGCACGCTTCAGGGGACACTCACTTGGCCAAACAACCATATCAGGAAGACGTCCAAACCTCCCCTCACGAAGGGCAAAGATCTCATGCAAGCAGTGACCTGTATAAATTGAAGAAAAAGAATTTATACATAATGTATACACTTAAACTGGCAAAATTGAAGATGGCGTTACAGAAGGAATCCAACAGAGATGCACAATTAGGAGAAATTGTGGAAATTATGTGTGTCCCCCGCAGCAGCAAAGGAAACAAAAACGTCACTGAAACAGGTAAACAGAAAAAAAAAGAAAAGAAATTAGAAGAGTCAAGAAGAAAAGCTTCAAAGGTAGTGACATCTTTCAGTCTCGTATGTGATTAAATAACATGAGAGAACAGGCAAACAGTGTGTTGTATATTACAAATAACCATTGGGTAGACGAGGAACACTGGATGATTTCACAATTATAAAAGATATGTTTACAATTTTTAATCAATCATACAGTACAGTATAATTAAAGTGTTAAAAAAAGACTGTCAATGACTTTCAGTGCAACAAATTTTTAAAAACTGAGAAGTGTTCATTTGTATTTGCATTTATTTGGTTGGCATTTAAAATTGAGACTTGTTTGATTTCTGAAAAGGCCTCGAAACTCGTGGCACTGGCCTTCGCCAGATCAGACTGGCGTCCGGTCACCCACTCCGTGTGCTCATGCCCTGGGTCGTGGGGCTCACCGTGGGCTCGGAAGACCCGGTCCTCGGCCTCCAGGGAGTGGGGGATCCCCATGGATTTCAGGTCCTGGAGAAAAGGCTCATTCAGGTTGGGTGGTGTGATCGCACTGCTGTTTAACGCCGCCTGGAAGAGCAGAGTAAGGTTCAGTCAACAAAGAGCTGGGCCAAGCAGCAGGAGAGGGTAGGTGAAGGGGAGACTTACTGTAGGCGGGCTTTTGTGCTGGAGGTTCGCGCCAAAGGTGCTTTCGAACCAGTCCTTCAAACTGGGAAAAATCAACCCACCTAACCTGTACCTGCAATTCAAAGTATTTAATATACAGATAAGCAAGTTCGAAAGTTTAGTTTCTCAGTTTAATAGTAATTTTCAATACTGCTTCGATTCATGTCAGTGCCATTCCTTCACATCTGCCATAACTTTACCATTCCTGCAAGGCAACACAGTCTAATAACATGGCCAGAGTCAGTCAGGCTGACTGATGTCAGAAGACCGGGAGAAGCACTGAATCACTCCTTCAAGGACAACAGGGTGAGAGGGAGTTAAAAAAAAAAAGAAGAAAAGAAAAGAAAACACACTGCTTTTGTGGTAGACCTGAGAATTCGAATACAGGGATATTTATTCTTAAGCTCTACAAACTGAGTGCCCCAGAAACTTTGCTTACAAACTACAACAGTAACACTCTTAAGAAATCTATTTTCCTGCATTTTTTTTTTTTTTTTAAGATAAACAATCAGATCCTTTAGCTGCATTCTTGGTAAGAATTCTGTACATTTCTGAAAAACCCTATCACACCTGCCAGCTACCATGAACAACAGAGAGACAAACGCGATAGTGTCCAAGGGGGAAAAAAAAAAAACATCATTCAACGTCAATGTTGCGTTTATAGAACAGGCAGTACCATTCAACACATGGAAAAGATTAGGCAGGAGCCAACTTTCTGAATGTTATTGAGGGTATCAAGATATTAAATTGCTCATTAAACCACTTTGATAGGCTACAGTCCTTCAATATATTATACAAATCGCTGGCTGACGAACACAAACCATTTGTAATTCCAAGTTCTACAGAAGAATGCGTTGCAAAGGAAAACCTGCGATTTTACAGAGGAGTCTTTAAGCAGCTTTGACCGTGCTGCACTCTAACAGCCACTAGATGGCAGTAGCGCAACACTAAGCTTAAAACCTACAAATAGCTGGGCTCTACAATCTGGAATGCACTTTGTAAATTGTACTATTATTATTACTAGTTTTATTTTTTTATTAATAATAATAATAATAATAAATGATAATAATAATAACAACAACACATAATAATCATATCATTATTAGTGGTGTTATTACTGTTATTATTAATCATTATAATAATAAGATCTTAATGTTCCATCTGTATATCTTAAAAACAAATCATTAAAAAAAAAAATCTAAGAAGGGCTGTAACTGCTTTTTGACACCAGACAGCCAATCGCCATAGTCTCCTTGCACAATTGGCGCTCCACCACTCCATAGAGCCTATCGGATCATGAGTATCAATGAACCCAATCTGAACATCGCATTAGCGAGGCCCGAAGCAGCCCCCTTACTGAAACGCAGCCAATATGCACTTAGGATAACAGCCTGGAATGTGTGCTGCTCCTAATAGGCACTGGGACGACAGCTTATAAAAGAACATTAAAGCTGGTTTAACCTGAAGGAGCATTTATCATCAGATCCAGTATTAATCATACACAATTTTTGGGGCAAGTTAAAAAAGGAACAACAAAAAAAAAGAAAACTTCAGTGGAATCTGCCTTAGGCTGGAAGCAAGAAAAGCGTAATAAAAAGGCAGGAAGGGAAGGGAGCGTGGCGGCCTACCGTACCTCCTGCCGGTAAATTCCGCTTGACCTTTCTTGTTGAACAGAAATCTGGAGTCGCTGTACCCCCAGCCATTCCATTTCATAACCTCCTGCCTAGAAAAACAGGGCAGAGAGGCAGCTGATCATAGCATGCAGAGGGAACCATGCCAGGCCCAAGGCAGCCCCACCTAAACGGGGTAAGGGGGAGCTGGTTTTCACCCCCAACCTACTGAGCCCTGCCTCACTTACTAGTTCATCACCTGCATTCTTGTACCTACAAGTTCCTTCGAAGACACTAGTGTATAATTGCTTTTGGGCCATTTTGCAGTAATTAAGAGCAGAGCCATGGGGGCCAAACTGTAAGGTAATAAAGGACTGACATCTGTGAAGCAGATTCGCTTCAAATGCAAAATGCAGGTCGGTGATGGGTTCAAGACGAGCAGAAAACTGCAAAAGACACCCTGCTGTGCAGTTCATTACATAATGTCACACTGGGAGAATACAGGGATATTGTAATACAGTGCTTTTAAAATCTCAATCTCAATGCATTCAAAGAAATGATGCATCCATACAAGAGGAGTAGTACTTGGATTTAAAACATTTAAACTAAACAGAAACAACAGAGCACATTAAAAGCATATTAATATTGTTTTTTCCCCACCACAAGCAGACATCCTCAGAGTATACAATGTTCCTGTCACAGCCCACCTGCCGTTTGATTCCTTACTTTAGCGACAACACAGTTATCATAAAGGGGAAGCTCTGCAGCCCCTCTGGTAGGAAGCTCAAGTGCTGTCTGGATAAACGTGGGAGTCTCAGGCCGAACATTTCAGCACAGAAGTGACAGGCCCCATTGCAAATGATGACCCTTCAGGAATGTACTTAAAAACATGTTTGGACCAATCTCCATTTAGGAAGAATAATTAAGGTTTTATTTAAACAGGTTTAAACCTACTGATCAGTGAGGGATGGAATTCAGTACACACACACACACACACACACACACACACACTTATGCAGTCTAAAGAAAGGTTTAAGGCTGTCTATCTATGTAATAAGTGCACTTTTGCACATAGCAAAAAAACACTTTAGCATTAGAACATATGCAGATTAAGAGCAACACAATAAAACCGAATTAAATTTCCTTCTGCTCTCCAAAAAGATACTGATATCTTGTTAGACGGCTAGACGAACGCCGCTTCTGTTCCCAAACCTCCTCAGGGGCACCTCAGCCATTCCATGTATTTATCAACTTCACCGCCAGCTCACGTAATTAACGAATTTAATTAGTTAAAAAAGTTGATGACATATTGATCAGCTATACGAGGTGTGCTGGTGGTTGAGTTAAAAAAAAATACATGGGTGCGTTGTATGGTTGCTACAAATACTGGGAAGATTTTAGCGGACGGTTTGAGATGGCTAAGCTAATACATTTTGACAGGCACAAAAGCACAACACATTTAAACATCAATTTCTTTGGCAGTGTGACTTTTGTACAGTCCTGTGTGTGTGTGTGTGTGTGTGTGTGTATATATATATATATACAGTGGTACCTCAGTTCTCAAACTCATTAGAACTCAAATTAATTAAAAGTCGAACCAACCAGTTCGAAAAAAAAAAAGACCTGGAACTCGATCTGAATCTCATAAGTCGAACTGTGAACGCCGACCTAAGATAACTTGTACGCACAGGGAAATGAGTCACACAGCATGTGTCTCAGCGGAAACAAAGGATAACGCTTCAGTCTCAGCCTTGCATTCGCTGTGATAGCATCCTGCATGTTTACACTAGCTGAATACATATATTTAGACAGTAAAAATACATTTAGACAATGATAGACAGTAACAGTAATTATTATTATATAATAAAATACATTTAAAATTGATTTCTTATTAATTATTTTAATATTAATAATAAACCATTAATACATTTAATTATAATAATATCGTCATTCCCAGCGGGGACGGAACTGAGACAAAGGTGCAGGCGTCAGAGTATCGGGGAATACGGGGTTTAATTACAGGTAAGGCAGGCAAAACGGGAACGGACAATACAATGACCGGACTGGGGATACAAACTGAAACGCGAACTAAATACATAGGACTAATGACAACAACCAGAAACAGCTGATCACACGGGGATTCCACACGGGGTTAACGAGGGGGCGTGGCACACAGAAGGAGCAGACGATCGGGGCATGACACATTGTTTTTTTAGTTTAAAAATTACTGTTTTGATAAATGTGCTTAGATGTGTTTAGTACAGTATATGCTTTTCTTGTTTTATCCGGTTCATTTTGTGTTTAAATGCTAGAAAAAAACATATGTAGGTGTAATTTTTTGGGGCCGGGAACCAATTAATTGGTTTTCCATTATTTCTTTTGGGGAAAATTCGATCAGAACTCAAACTTTTTAATCAATCCTTTATTAATCAATCCTTTATTGTCCCTCATGGGGAAATTCTTTTTACGCCTCCCTCAGGATTCGATCCAGAGTTCTGAACAGATTAAGTTCGAGTTTTGAGGTACCCCACACACACACACACACACACACACACACACACACACACACACACACACAGCTAAAAAAAATTAAAGGAACACTTTGGAAACACATCAGATCTCAATGGAGGAAAAAATCATATTGGATATCTATGCTGATATGGACTGGGTAATGTGTTAGGAATGAAAGGATGCCACATTGTTTGATGGAAATGAAAATTATCAACCTACAGAGGACTGAATTCAAAGACACCCCAAAAATCAAAGTGAAAAAATGATGCAGCAGGCAACTCAAAATCGTACTCAATAGTTTGTGTGGTCCCCACATGCTTGTATGCATACCTGACATTGTCAGGGCATTCTCCTAATGAGACAACAGATGGTGTCCTGGGGGATCTCCATCCAGATCTAGACCAGGGCATCACTGAGCTCCTGGACAATCTGAGGTGCAACCTGGCGGCATCAGATGGACCGAATGATAATGTCCCAGAGGTGTTCTGTTGGATTTAGGTCAGGCGAGCATGGGGGCCAGTCAATGATATCAATTCCTTCATCCTCCAAGAACTGCCTGCATACTCTCGCCACATGAAGCTGGGCATTGTCGTGCACCAGGACGAACCCAGGATCCACTGCACCAGTGTAGGGTCTGGCAATGGGTCCAAGGATTCCATCCTTATACCTAATGGCAGTCAAGGTGCCGCTGTCTAGCATGTAGAGGTCTGTGCGTCCCTCCATGGATATGCCTCCCCAGACCATCACTGACCCCCCCACCAAACCGGTCATGCTGAACAATGTTACAGGCAGCATAATGTTCTCCGCAGCTTCTCCAGACCCTTTCATGTCTGTCACATGTGCTCAGGGTGAACCTGCTCCCATCTGTGAAAAGCACAGGGTGCTAGTGGTGGACCTGCCTATTCTGGTATTCTATGGCAAAAGCCAGTCGAGCTCCACAGTGCCGGGCAGTGAGCACAGGGCCCACTAGAGGATGTCGGGCCCTCAGGCCACCCTCATGAAGTCTGTTTCTGATTGTATGGTCAGAGACATTCACACCAGTGGCCTGCTGGAGGTCATTTTGTAGGGCTCTGGCAGTGCTCATCCTGTTCCTCCTTGCACAAAGGAACAGATACCGGTCCTGCTGATGGGTTAA